AGCACCCGGTGGCCATTCTGAAAACCCAACGATCAGCTGTTTTTGATCGTCGTAAAGCAAAAATCGGTTCCTGAAGCAGGAAACCGATCATCGCTAAATGAAATTCCTCCATTTAGACCATCGTTTTGCGATCACAATTGCAATCGCAAAAAGATTGTCATAAAGCGGATTTGTCGTAATGCGGGGCAGTTGTTAAGCGAGGCACCACTGTAAGGTGCTACATTGGGAGATGAAGAGTTATAAGATGTAGCATGAGGTCTGTGAATAAGTATAAATCATACTACAAATAGGATGAATAACATGAAGTCTACAAAGAAAAGTCAGTCAATCTCTGAATGAAATGTGTAAGGATTGCTTTTTAAAGCTTAAGAAAGCAAAGGGGGATTCCCTGCTGTGCCATCTGCTTTTTCTCCCTCTTCTTCCTGCTCTTACAAGTGGACACTGGAAGTAAGCAATTGTGAATCTGGGCAGGCAAGAACAAGCAACTCCAAATAACCAGCAAGGTTAGAAAGGAATTTCCTGAGGGTTTCAACAGAGTTGTCACACTGGTGAGAACAATGTTTTGCTGAAAAATCTGCCAGTTTTCACACAAAACCTGGGGTTTTTTGTGTCACCCCTTGACTTCTAGGGAAGAATCTCCCAGGGCTTAAAAATACCTTGTCATTGTGTCTAGACAGGAAAAACAGATGAGAATTAGGAATATAACAACTATTCTTTCCATCCCAAACAATGGGGATTGTGGCTTCACACTGCTATTCTCTCCCATGAGACTCTTGATATTTCTGTACCTTTGCTTTCTTTCTCCTTCTTTTATTCTTTCATCACATTTTATTTTTAGCCATACCATCTACTTTAGAGTACTATTGTTCATGTTATGTAGTGGCAGGATTTCATAAACTCCCACTGAAATGGCAATATAAAAATAACTGGTTATAGCCGTTATACTAAAGGACCTCTGAGAACAAGAGAAAAACATTGTGGTTTTGTTTTGTTTTCTAAATGAGTCCTGTTCTCATAATAACTGTGATGACCACAATTAATCTTTGGATGGCTAGTAGCATAACAAATATGCTTGTATCTAATCTGCTGCATTTTTCCTCCAAACCACCGCTGTGCTAGCTTAGGAACACGACACCCTTTAAAAATTTATAAGAACTGCAGCTAATAAAACTAGAACTTGGAAACTCCTCAGTTTACCTTTGCCGGGACCCTATGAAGACCTAAAGTGAAGCTTTGTCACTCCACTTGGAAAAGTGCAATGAAACTATAAGTTAGTAACACAACTGGACTATTTTACTTCTTGATGTGCTAAGGGTTCAACTCACTAAATGTTCAGACTGGAAACATTTTTATGGGGCTTTTTGAATATTATGGCTCTAGGGTGCTGACAGGAGTTTCTGTGACTAAACTAGTCTCTCCTTCTTTCAGCTCTCTTTGCTAACAATAGGATTTGTTCACTATAGCATGTTGCCTAAATCCTCTTGCGTAAATTTACATAGTGTAAGGCAAATGATGCCACCTGTAGCAGTGCAACCCAGAATCCAAGCAGGCAACTTTAATTTGCAGTTGCTAATTAGCCCCCCACAATAGTCCCTCACTTCACCCAGCTGCTAATAAAAGTTTCCTGCCTGGATTCCAGTTCACGTCACTGCAGGTGATGTCACTGGACAGCCGTGCATTATGCAAAGGTCATGTGGCCTGAATGTGGAAGAATAACTACAGTACTTAGGGCTCATTGGTGGTTTTACTCCATTCTTTTCTTAAGTGTCTGCCAATTAGCTGTTTGTGAACTTTTAGCATCCAAGCACATAGTTAGTGCAATTAACAATGTCCTGTTCTGTCATGAGAGCCTTGAGGCACAGTGATTAAACTGCAGCACTGCTGTCAAAAGCATTTGGCTATTCATTTCCCTCCATGCATTTTAAGAAACGAATATACCCTTCTACATAACAACAATCGCTGCCTTTCCTCATTTAATCTCATGCTCATCCATGTTTACTCTTAGTTTGCTTTAAACTATTGTTTCTGTCAACTGGCGTATTCAACACTTGCATAATCCCCTTTTACAGATTACAGATTGCTATGCTCTTATTAATTGTTCAACCAATTTAAACCCCCCAAACACAACTGTGCACTTGAAACCTACTTTCATTTACATTCCTGGTCAGTTCTCAGTTTTGTGTAGTCTGGAAAGAAGTCCACCCTTGCTACGCTCAATTTGGTTGAAATTCCTGCTCCAAAGATATGCTATTGGCAATCTTGGACTGCTCCTCTGATGTAACGTTTTGCATGAAGCAAATCCTTTTTTGTACCTCATGCCAAGACGTGCACAACCCTATGTGGTGTTATATACTTGTGTTCCCTACAAATATTTCATGCGCACAAATGGACAAGCATAATTGAGTCCTTAAGTGCTACTAAAAAACCTTTTAATAATGTAAGGTGTACAGTTTCCACCTTCAAGGAAACTGAGACAGTATTACTTTGTCTACTTTTTTAAAAATTCTTGTCCACACTTTCTCCTGTTCCCTTGCTAATTTTGAAATGGCTCTGTTCTGTTTCAGAGCTGTAGACTTTACCATGAATTATTCTATCACTTTATCACTGGGTTATATTAACTTCCTTTTAGAGACCCTTCTGCTGGCCTACAAAGATGCTGTAGGCCTGTGACCCTTCAACATGCTAACATGTAGCAGAGCAAGCTGACACTAGGAGTAAATAATCAAGCTGACAATGGTTTGCTTCACAAAATATGCAATAAAAGTAACTGATAACCAATTTTAACTAATGTATTTTCATCTGCTTGTTCATATCATGAAATTTTTTATAACCTTGTTTGCCAGCAACCCTATAAAACTGTTATTATAAATAAAACATTGTAAGCAAGCATATAGAGGCTACTAATCAAAGTTATCATTATGACTTTTAAAATCGTTTCCTCAGTACTGTATTTGTTCTTCTATTTTATCTGAGTTCTACTTAAGTAGTGTTTGCTCTAGTAGGAATTGCATTTGAAATACTGCAATAGGCAAGACCTGACAGCACAGCAGCAAGATTAAATTAGTCACAATAAAATTGTGGGAATAAAGAAGGGCTTAAATCAAAATCATAAATAATTGAAAAGAACTCCTGCTATCTTAAAAGAAAAGGAACTAGGAGATAATAATTTGAAGAAATAAAATAGCAAAAAAGGAAGAGGCGTAAAAGCAAACTTCATACATTATATTTTTTTTTAAATGAAAGAGGATAATGATAAAAATATAAGACTACTTTTCAGGAGGAGGAAAAATAAATGCTCTTTCACATATAAACGTTTCAAAGCATCTATATATATTAAAGGGCATATTTTAACCTTACTGCATTTTCACAGAGTCTAATATAAATTTCAGTCCTCACCATCAGAAGGTGTCATGAAGAGACTACAATATAAGATGTAGTGTTTCCTGCAGGGAGTTTGGTCAGGAGAAGCAAATATGGCTTCCATACCTCAGGAACCATTCATTTCTTATTTCTTCCCCACTCACAGTCCTTCATGAATTTATTTTATTCTTTGAGATATTTCTGTAACACTTTCTAAAGTGAAAACGACTTCAGGTGGTTTACAAAAATCACACAACAAAAAGTCAACGTAGAAAATAATGGTATCAATGGGCAGAAGTATAAATTACAGCCATGACTTTAAAACACAAGGGCCAGAATCCTACCACCTAATGCCTGCCAGCATTAAGTTAACTGATGTGCATTTCAGTGATGAACTGTTGCTAGGTAAAAAGTCAATATTAGTTCTGTTCCCTGCTAAACACTAGTCATGTGAACTGGTGCATTTCAAGAATTAGGAGCATAGATTTCTTAATTAGTGGCAGCTCATTGCTGAAATACTCAGCATAAACATTCAATTGCATTCTGAGCAATATATTTAAAATACTGCTTGAATAAATATTTACTGCACTGCTCTACAAAGGAGATGAGACGTCAACTATCAAGGCAGCAGAAGAGAAAGGATCATCCCTGTTCTGCTCTGACTCACAAATATTTCATCTTGGGACTTTTGTATTATACAGAAATAGAAATACCAGGTTCAGATTTGCCCATTTGGGTCACATATTCATTTGCAATAGTCAGCTTGATGACATAGTCAAGGGGTTTATCTCTGGTCTGCGAAACAACAGACTTGCCACTTCAACCTGAGATGGTGGTTCAGCAAGAAATGTTTATATTAATAACGAAATTGTCACTTTTTATACAATTTGCATTTCATTTCCTATTTATCTTGCTATTTACAGTCTCCATAACTCTCTCTCTCTCTCTCTCTCTCTCTCTGTGTGTGTGTGTGTGTGTGTGTGTGTGTATATATATATATCTGTCAAGTAGCGTAACACTTCCTGCTTCTGATGAAGGGGAACACAGGTTCACAAAGCCATATGGCAAAATCAAGCCTTACAAATTACTCAAGATTTGAGACTCTTTATAGGTTTTTGTTGTTGTTGTTGTGCTTTCATACACTAACAGTGCTACCCTGTAAAAATTACAAGTAGAAGGCTGTATACAAGTAGTAAAACCTCCTCCAAAAACAATCTAGTAGTAAATATGGAAGGGTGTACAGCTGGACATCATGAAAAGTTGAACTGTACAAAATGTGTGTGTGTGTGTTTTGTTTTTTTTCAGTCTCATGAGCCGTTTCAGAGTCACATTGTATTCCATACAGCATCTGTGTTAAGGGTGTGTGTGTGTGTGTGTTTTTTTTTTTCAGTCTCATGAGCCGCTTCAGAGTCACATTGTATTCCATATAGCATCTGTGTTAAGGCACAGAACATCCTTAATGAATTTGTATTCACAAGAAAAATGGACGAATTAATTTTAAAGATAAACCCTGCTTCACCTCTTCTGTTCCTTTCACTGTGGAGAAGTTCAACTGTAAGATCAGTGAAATATTATAATAGCAATATCTATTTCCTATTATTCTTTCATTCAAGGCTCATGTTACAAAAAAGCAGAATTACCCAGGATAGACAAGAAAGCTTTTGCTCTCTCTGGCTCAATAGCGCTGTCTTTCAACTGTGCCTCACAGATGTACATTCCAATGTCAGCAGAGGTTGGGTTGGAAATCGTGAGACGTCTCCCAAAACTGCTAACTCCGGTGGCTATTTTGATTCCATTCCTCTTCCAGGCTATGCTTAATTTCTCAGAGGGCCTATGAGGGTAAAAGTCATGCCAATTATTACTGTGAATTATGTTACCTGCAGTAATAACACACACTGAACATATGACTCACCTAACTCTTCCAGGACTGCAGGCACATTGAGTACTGGACATTTGGAAACAAATCCAGATGCAGATCCAAGGTCTTAAGCAGAAGGATACATCAGGGAAGCAGAAGCAGAGCTACTTGGGGGCCATCAAACAACCATGGCTAATTGCAATAGCAATGGAGCTTTTAAGTGGCAATGATTTGGTTTGCCCAAGCAAACAAAAAATGCTAAGAATAAACATGGGGAAACAGCTATAGCAGAGGTACTTTTATTAACTAATCATTATTATGACTGCCTCTGCTTTTATCAGGTTGAAACAATCAACTGGTGATCTCAGAATATTTGTGATCTTTTGCTTTATCCAGCAATGTGCCTTTCTTACCACGGTATTCACAGCAAAAATTATGAACCACTAATAAGGAAAAGCATTCAGGTTCTCAGTATTTGAATCCACTCATTATTCACTGATGAGGTCAAGATGACAAGTGTATAAGAAGTAGCATAATTAACATTGCCATGATAAAATTTTAAAACTGATGGCATAGTAGACACTTGTCAGAACAGTTCCCAAGATGAATTATACAACTTTGACTTTCTGAGTTCTTTAGTTCTATATAAATAATGACTATTATTTTTCTAACTTGCCCTTCCTCCCCTAAACCAAGAAGCAACATGTAACACAGAATAAAATACAGTAAAATAAAAAACCTCCTCTACGATTGATTTGTATGGAAAATACATTCATTGTAATGCAGTTTACTAATAGTACAAATGAAGGAATGTTTCTGCTTTCACAGAGAAATGACAAGTGCTAATAAAATTCAACTAGGTAGATCTAGTTTATTTTATTCATGTATTTAAAATATTTTTACCCCACCTTTCTCCCTTAAATGGACCAAAGGCAGATTACATCATTAAAAGACAATATTTAAAGCTTTAAACAGTACAGTAGCCACTTCTTAGTAGAAGAAACAATTACTCCATGTATAGCCATTGTGAATTAAACAGATATCCTCCATCCTACTGCAGGCTTCCCATGTTCCTTGAAAATAATTCTCATTTTGCCATAGCTGAATTTACATTACCTGCCATTGGCCACACACTCCATGATGGCTTCATTACTTCCTGCTATCACGCTTGTATTACGTGGAGGAATTATGATGACTGGATCCATGGTGGTAGATGTGCTGTCAGCACCTACACACAAGAAAACAAACTCCACATAAGCATTTTGCAATTCTGACTTAGCAGCAGCATACATACCAACAGTGACTGTTTTTACCAGCAACAAAGAGAGGCAGGGCAACTGAAGCAGTGCATAAATGGCCACAGCTTTCATTGGCTACAGCTGAAAGTTTGGTGTAACCTAGGATCCGGCTCCTGACAACAGGCATCTCAAATACTGCCCAAGTCTCTCCATCTCATTCACTACATGCAGGGATCCTACTGGCAGTGGCATCACCTTGGGCATATAAATATGGACCAGCTGCCATGACACAGGAATCTAGCAATCATCTGTGCATGGATGTTTAAGAACCAGCAGAAAGGAAATTTGAGCAAAAAGGTTGGCCCCAGATCCCACTGCTGAGCAAACCCATAATCATCCAGATTTGAAGCACCTCTGCTAGCAAGGCTTGACATTCTGGAGCTAGGCAAACCTGAGACCTTTGAAGTTTACATGTTCGCACAAATCTTGGGTCAATCTACGCAGTACCAGGATCAATGTTTAGCCAACCTCTCATGGATCTTTAGCAGTCCAAGAGTGGAGACATATTAATTCAAGTGGATGGCTTCCTTAATAGGCCTTTCAACACTGATGTTTGTCCTTCAGCACTTGACAGCTCTGCCTGTGACTAGGAAAGCCATGAGTGCTCAGTTGATGCCTATCGTTGGGAGGAACAGCTGGCTCTTTTACACACACACACACACACACACACACACACACACACACACACACACACTACTATTAGTAGTGTGATGAGGAGTTTAGCGCTCTGCTCCAGTGAAGCTTTTTCTACAAGCAACAGGGAAACATCTCGAACTGAAGGGTCCATTTTAATTTAATATTGGCCATAGGGCCAAATTGTTTATTACAGGCAGCCTGTGATTACAAGAAGAATTATTTAAGTGCTGATTGTGTATGATAGTTACAACGGGAGTTTTTCTCACATCCTAGAGTTTGCAAATTACCTCTTTATGTTCTGTGATGGGTCTTCAAGGTATATGAACACCTTTTGCATGCTAGATTTATGAAAACTTAACATTTCAATTCTAGTAACATTTTTTTTATAGGTTAGCATTTAGACAAAAGAACGAGTATCACTACTTGGTTTCTAATTACAACCTATGCTAGTTACCAGACACAAAATGTAATCTGTCCTTCAACTATCTATTCAGAGAGTGAATACTAAAAGGCATTTTTAAAACAAGATTCAGGAAAATGAGATGAAAATTGGTATTTTTCTTCTTCTTCTTGCAGATCTTATTATGGTAAGTTTACTCACACTTGATTCAGAAGCCAGTGCTGAATAGGCAAAAGAAAGTCCACAAAACAGAGTAAACTAGCCATTAGCAATATACAGTAGTGTCTAGAAGGGCGGGGGGGGGGCTTTTTATTTGAAAAGGGGGGTTATAAGTGCATAAGAAATTCATCAAGAATTGCATACATCCACAAAACTTAACATTTTATTTGGAACTTTAGAGTAGACCTTCATCCTCTCATTAGGGAATAGCTCCACAGTCCAGTTGCTTTTCTGTTGCTTTCATTATTCTAAGCAATCTCCTTTTATTCCAGCTCTTGAAGCTTAATATCACTGGAAGCAAATAGATCATAAGGGTTGCTCCCAAGTAAGATGCAGGAGGGCCCATTTCCAGAGAACAAATATATTGAGCTCAAAGAGAATTCCCCCCCACACTACCAAGCACTTTTATTTTTATCAAACATTTGCTGACTTATATTTTTAAGATCTTTTCATGTTTTGTTTAATCTTGCTCCTTCCATGCAGTTTCAAAAGAGCCTGCCAGTGCTTGAGTGGGTTCTTTTAAAAGATTTTTATACACCAGGGAACAAACACAAAATTAACAAAGCAGCATATCACAGCAACTTCAATCCTCTTTCCTTATCAGAAAAGTAAATAACCCAAATCTGCTTCTCTTTTGTGAGTCTACAAACTGTAAATAATTTAGCTTATGCAACTCTCAGAACACACCAGGAAAAAAAAAAACAGCAAGGAAGGAAAGTGCTGCCATCTTAGGCTTGTTTCTTTCTTACAAATTCAGTGTATGTATTTAATAAGTGAATTAAAATACCAATATGTTATTGCTTTGCTTCAAGCTATTCATTTGGGGGGAAAAAACCACAGCGTTGTTTTCCCCTACATGAAAAAGAGTATAATAAAAGATTGCTAAAAATAAGGATTGCAATAAAAGAGTTACAGGGGAAAAGAAAATTAAACTATGTCTAAACCAATGAAAATCCAAACTGGCTCATCAAACACTATACATTAAGGCAGCTTAGCATTATAAAATCCACCATTATGAGTCAATGCAATTTAGAGCTGGCAACTGGTAGGTTCCAAATCCTTCAATCACTAGCACAAAAATCTATCGTGAAACAGAAGAGGGTAGGAAAAAACATTCGTGGCATATTTTGTGCCATTAGACATTCAGCAGAACAATGCTTTAAAATGTGATATATGGATGAGAAAAACCGGCAAATGAATGCACACAATAATAAATAGCAAAGAACTGGGACTTTTACTGCAATCTCAGTTTGAAGGATGAACTACAGAACATAATAAAAAGAAGAGAATCCAAATAGTTATTGTGCAACTTTCGGAATATTTTACTTTTCTTTTTGAACATAACTTGCTATGGCCGATCCAGATGCCAGACTGCTTTCCAATCCCTCCATTAGATAAATATTTTTTGGAATGGCCAGGATGATGTTTTAGCTTGCAAGACTTATGAAGAGCTGTTAAGACCATGATTTTCTGAGGGTTATTTATTCATAGGACTGCCGCAAGCGTAGGTGATTTGTCAACAACAACAACAATGGGATAAAAAGTATACGACCTTGTTCAAGCCAACAACAGGGTGGAGGCCCATCATCAATCAGAAGGCATGTGAAATTCATTGATCAGAATCGTATTGTTAATTTATGCTTCTGTAAGGGAAATCACCTTAAGTTGTGGTGGCAAACTGTTCATATGGGCGAGGCACTTGTGGCAGTCCTTGGATGCAAAAGGGCCTTTGCTGCCAAAACTCACATGATTTTGCTTATGGCGGCATACATTGCTGCTAGTCTTTGACCCTAATAAAGCAAATTTAACATGCATTGGCAAAAGAATTCTGGCCATTGTGTTGATCTTTGGAAATCCGTCAAAGAATACAAGCAATCCCTAATGAAGGAAGTATCTGCCAGAAACTTAAGCCCAGGGGTGGATAAATTACAGGTCTTGGGTTGCATGCAACTCCAAGGCAATTTGTCCAGCCCCTTGAAAAAATATCAACAAAGAAGGTGAATGATCAATCCGGGAAGACAGGAGCAGCAACCCACCTTTTAAATAGGTCACAGAGGGCCTCTATACAGAGTTACACAAAAAACACCCACTTTCAAAACTGAAAGTAGACTTCTGGTCACTTGTACATTTACTTTCTCATTATTTTTGAGAATTTCAAAGTTCATGCAGCTGTCCGGTGGTCTTTGGTACAGACTATCTTGAAGGAAGATCCAAGTTCTATGATGATGCTTGCCACATTTGTCTAAGACCATGCATAGTAACTAAGGAGGAGTAGACCAGCAAAAGCTCAAATTGCCTGGTCTGGTGTCTAGAGATGGGGGTATTTGTATATACATATCTCCACACAGGTGGTTTAATGAGGATCCAGCCCCATGGCAGGAGGCAGCAGAACAAGCCTCGCTGCAAGCTTGAAGAGTGGTGAGTGGATTGCCTGCTCCGGAGCCATTGGTAGAATCGCGCCATCCGCATCTGATTGGTGAGTGGACCGTCTCATCACAAGATACCAATAGAAGAATGTAAGGGATCTGATTTTACCCATCCTTTGTTTCTCATCTTTTCTCTTTGTGAAGTGGGCAAGTCACAGGTGGAGTTACATAACTGCCACTTTTCAATGCTAATCAGTGCTTTCCTCCTCCCCACAACCAATCCAGCCATCTGTTACTATTCCAGTGCATCTTAGTCTTTCAGAGAAGGTTACTTTATTATTATTGCAGCCTCTGTGTCTCACAACGGTTGTGGAAATGGGCTATCCAAAAAACTAACTATTTGTTAGTGGAATGGCTAATATTTATTTTATATTTATTTTATTTATTTATTGTATTTATACCCCGCCTATCTAGTCCTTTCGACCACTCTAGGCGGCTTTAATGTGTGGGAATAAGGTTATCACAAGAGAGGGTAAATTGTTTATTCTAACTGAAGCAGTGTGATCAAGCGGATGCATAAGACTGGATTCAGGGCACAGCCTAAAAAGTTTAAGATATGCATGGCTTTTGAGTTCTACATTAATTAAGGACAAAAGTGGAATAAGCTGAAGCAACCAATGGCAAACCTAGTTTTATACTTTGAGCCTATGAATAATATATAAGACAGACTTAATTGCACTATTATGCAGTTATGAAATAAATGTACACTTCCAAAGAAGTGAGTAGGAAATTAATACATTTATTTTAATCTTCTTTGTCGTGATACCTTAAGGGCTTGAGATAACTTACAGTATATTCTGAGTGAGCCAAAAGGAGTGTGTTGTTCACAAAGCATTTTCCAAGGTGACAAAGTAATCCCTCTTCGAAAGTTTTTTCAGTGATCATGTTGAAAAGAGGAGGACAAATACATGTAGGAAAATTGTGAAACCATGTACAAACAAAGTGAAAAGAATGTGACCCAGTTGACTAGATTTAGTGTCAGAAGATGTCCACCCTTGGATGGGGTTTGGCCCTCAGAAGCATCACCATGCACCCAAATCTGATTAGCTCCATGCTGTTAGTGTGATTACATCATGTTCACCATGCTATCATCTCACCATGTGAGCCCTGAGTAGCCATATCTTTTACCATTTCATTATTTCCAACTGGTGGGACCTAGCATCAGATCACTGAAATAGTGGAGTGATTATAATGAAGGAGCACATGCCAAAAGGTCAACAGACATAGTACAGATTTTGCATTAATGTTC